GTAGCGGCACTCAGGGGCAGCGTTACGGATGGGGTAGGCTGGGGTTGGATGCATCGATCCCCGATCTCCGACTGGAGCCTGATAGCCCACCCCACCCAGGATCATGCAGATTTGCTATCGATCAGGAAAGCTATGGATTCGGCTTGTGTCGGTGATTCGTTTTTTTTTGCCATGTATGGTGCCGGAAGGGCATGTCGGACAGCGACGACGACGACGACCAATGCGACAAGGACGAGGGGGAGGAGGAAAAGAACGACGACGAGGGGGCGGAGGGCCAGCACCCCCATCCCTCCTATCGGCCCCAGCCAAGATCAGGGGCAGAAGGGAGAAACGCATCGGAGTCACATTGGAGCCATATTGGGGCAATCTTGGAGTGTTCACGACGTCATTTTGTGGCAATGTCGAGGTCGTCTCGGAGGCGGCGCGTGTACGTTACGGAATACCCGTTGGAGGCGGCGTCATAGTATGGTTGTGTTGTTGATGGTGCCGTTGTCTATTGTTTGTGGTTGGTTGCCGCTATTATATGTTGTTGTTGCTGTTGTGTTTTTTCTGTGCTTGGTGTTGTTATTGTTGTTTGTGTTGTGCGGGTCATAGGGATTGATCACATTGTTGGTGGCTTTCTGTGAGATGAGACCACATCGTGCGAGATGATGTTGTACACAAACAAGGCCGCGAGGAGTGCTTCCATATGAGCACGTCGTCTTGGTATTGTTGTTGGTGTTGCTGTTGCTGTTGATGTTTTTGTTGTCGTGGATCTTGCCGCCCGCGGTGTTGTTGGTATTGGTGTGGTTTTCGTATATGTTGTTCCCGTTGATGGTATCACTAGTTTGCTCACTCGGTGTCTTCGCCAAGTGTGTGTTGTCCCACCTGGGCTCGTTGACCACAGGGCCGGCCGAACGACCAGAAAATGTTGTATTCGGTATGTGTAGTTCGACTGCACGCAAAAGTGACCCTTCGCCGGAGTGACCTTTGGTGCGCGCCCATTGGGGTCCCCCGATCGCCGAACGCGGTGCGGTAGTAGCGTCTTGCGCGCTTGTGTTTGGTCCCCCCGCGGCTCCCCAACAGCTGCGCACCAAAGGTCACTCCTACCCAGGATTACTCTTGCGTATGGCCGAGTAGTGTCGTTGTTGTTGTTGCTGTTGCTGTTGCTGTTGTTGTTGGTGGTGTTGTTGCTGGTGTTGCTGCTGTCTTTGTTGCTGCCGTTGTTGTTGTTGGTGCTGCTGCTGTTGTTGTCAACGTTGTTGAGACCGAGGGGTTTCAGACGACCCCCTGGGGGAGGGGAGGGGCGGGGGCGCATCGCATCGTATCGGGGGGGGGATCGTTGCACGTATGTGATTCCTATGGGATCCTTGGCATACTTGGACTGCTGTATATTCCTTGGGATTCCTAGAGATTCCTAGGCATTCCTGGGGGTTCCTACGGATGTGTGCGAATTTACTTGCATTCTTAGGGGTTCCTGACTATTCCTCAGGATTCATGGAGGATTTCTTTTGGAATCTCGGGGATCCTTGAGATTCCCAAGGATTCCATCAGATTCCTGTGGATTCGCCATGATTCTCAATGATATTTGAAAATCTCCATGTATCCCGAGATTTTCAGAAGAATCTCCCATGTTCCAAAGGATTCCGGCTGAGGATTCCTTTTTGGATTTTTGTGGATTCCCCAGGGATCTTTATAAGTCCCCATGAATATTTTGGAAGGTTTAGGGGCCCTTAGGCATGGGAAACCATTGCGATCTTCAGGAATCTTTCGGAGTCATTAGGAGCCACCCAGAAATCAGAATGAATGTTCCGGAATCCATTGGAAATTTGCGGAATTTCTAGAACAGGAATCGTCAGAAGTAAACCATTGGAATTTGCAGGATATCGCAGGAATCCTCAATCTGTCTCAGGAACCATTCGGCATCTGAAGGAATGCATAGGAATCCGTAAGATTCATTGACTTACGCCACACCGCCGACCCATTGGGGCGGCAGCGATCGTCCCCCGCGTGGCCTGTCCGGACAGCCTGTGAGGCCCCTCCAGGCACGTGTTGGAGCCCTCTTAGGACCGTCCTGCCGTTCCCCCGGGCCGTTGCTATGGTTTCTGGGGCCTTCGTGGGGCGGCCGGAGGCCGTCGTGGAGTTTTTTGGAGAGTCTCTTGGGGTGCCAGAGGTCGATCTTGGAGGTTTACTAGGCTGGTGTGGGCCTCGTGGAAGCCCAAGACATGAATATGCTGAAAATGCACGTTTTCCCAAGGGAATGGGACGGTTTTTTTTGTTCAGGAGGCCTGCTTGGAGCGCCTCATGGTCGCGTATGCAAGCGTCTTGGACGCCCATGGGTCTGTCTTGAGGCAATCTTGGGCGGTTTGGACCGAATCGTCCCCCGCGTGGGCCGTCCGGACAGCCTTTGGGAGCCCTCTTGGTCTCTTTTGTCTTGGAGGGTTATTTGGCCGTTGTGGGCCTCGTGACAGCCCAAGAAGCGAATGTGCTGAAAATGTGCATTGCACCTAGGGAATGGGACGGTTTTTGCTTCATGAGGCCTTCTTGGAGCGCCTCGTGGTCGCGTATGCAAACGTCTTGGACACCCATGGGGCCGTCTGGCGGCGATCTTGGGCGGTTTGGGCCGAATCGTCCCCCGCGTGGGCCGTCCGGACAGCCTTTGGGGGCCCTCTTGCCCCGTTTTGGAGCCCTCTGGGGACCGTCCTGCGGCTTTCCTAAGCCGTTGTTATGCTTTCTGGGGCCTTCGTGGATCGCCCGGACGCCGTCTTGGAGCCTTTTTGGGAGCCTCTGGGGCTGGCGAGGGTCGAACTTGGAGGCTTCTTGCCGTTCTGCGCCGCGTGGAAGCCGAATGGGCGAATGTCGTGAAAATGCACGTTTTCCATCAGAAATGGGACGATTTTTGCTTCTGGAGGGCCTCTTCGGGGCGCCTTGTAATATTGTTTCAAGCGTCTTGGGACATATTGAGCCGTGTGGAGGCAATCTTCGGCGTTTTGGGGCGAACTTTCGTCGGTTCGTAGCTCTCTTGGACCGTTCCGGGAACCTTTGGAAACTTTTTGGCCTGTTTTGGGGCTTCCTGAGGCTCCAAGTGTGCGGATGATGGATTTGCCCCCCCCCCCCCCCCTTCCAAACCGGCCGGACCAGGCCCCCGGGGGAGGGGCTTGGGGAGGGGGAAGCATTTCACACGCCGTGACCCCAAGGGGTCGGCGGAATCTTTCGGAATCCTTGGGTTTTCGGAATCCGTAAGAACCCACCGGAGCCCACGGCAATCTTCAGGAACCCGTCGGAACCGCAAGAGATCTAAAGGAATCCGCCAGAATCCCGAGGAATCCTTCAGACCCCATGAAGGGTCTTCATGAACCCCAGGGAATCCAAGCGAATGCCCAGGAAGCCATAGGAATCCAGGAATCCACAGGAACCCCAAGTATCGCCAGGACTCCACCGAGATCCGCAGGAATCTTTATGAACACGGCGGAGTTCCTCGTGCTCCATAAAGAGTAACTAGGTCTGTCGGAGTGCCAGAGAATCCCGAGGAACCTATCGGAAGCCCCTTGATTCCTTTGGAATCCCTAGGGCTCCTCAGGGGTCCGTGTGTCCCTAGGGATCCCAAGGAGTCGTTCGGAATAGTTTGAAATCCTTCGGATTATTCAGATATCCATGAGAGTCCAACGGAAGACGTTCGAATCCATACGAGTCCTTGGGAATCCGTTGCATTTTTGAGAAAGCCCCAGGCATGATTAGGAATCCTCAGAAGTCTTCAGGGATCCGAAGGATCATTTCGGAAGGCTTGTTCTGGTAAGGATTATGTACTGGGGTTTCTGAGTAAGGATTTCGTTATAAGATGCCCTTAGCACGGATCCCAAGGTTCTTTAGTAAGGATTCCTTACTCAGGTGCCCTGAGTAAGGATTATTGATGAAAGGTTCTTGAGTAAGGATTCCGTATTGAGGTTTCCATGAGTTGGGATTATCTCTTGCGGGATTATGATAATGGATTATGTAGTAAGGTTTCTTTTTGCGAGAATTATGTGCTAAGGTTTTTAGCCAAGACACCTCATCAGTTTCCCTGAGCTTCCTTAACAAGGGCTCCTTACTAACAGGGATCCCTTATCCAGGGCCCCATAAGAAGGGTTCTGTATTGAGGGCCCCTTCGCAAGGAACCCTTGCGCAGGGTTCTTCAATAGGGATATTTTGCTAAGGGCTCCTCAACAGGGATTCCTTTACGACGTTTCCCTCAGTCATGACTCTTCCCAACCATCCATCCTGTGGTGTTGGGTCTTCGTTTTGAAGAGGCAGCGCCCCGCGTTCCGTCCTTCATTCATTCATTCCTTCCTTCTCCTCCTCCTCCTCCTCCTCCTCCTCCTCCTCCTCCGCCTCCTCCCGCTCCTCCCGCTCCTCCGCCCATCCCCCATCCTCATCCTCATCCTCATCATTATTATCATCATCACCACCATGACCATGACCATCACCAGCATCATCCCATGCGTCCCCGCGTCCCATTTTTGGCACACCCCTCACACGCTTCGTGGCTCCATCGGGAGCTCCACCGAAGGCTCCAGTGGCACAGTTTACATGCGTTGCCGTCACCAATTTCGGCACACCCCTCACGCGGTTTGTGGCCCCATAGAGAGATCCACCAAAGGAGTGACATAGTTTACATGCGCCCCCGCCACCCATGTCGGCACACTCCTCACACGCTTCGTGGCCTCATAGGGAGCTCCACAGGAGGCCCCAGAGGCACAGTTTGCATGCGTCCCCGCCACCCATGACGGCACACCCGTCACGCGGTTCGAGGCCCCATAGGCTCCTCCTCCTCCTCCTCCTCCTCCCCCTCCTCCTCCTCCTCCTCCCCCTCCTCCTCCTCCTCCTCCTCCTCCTCCTCCTCCTCCTCCTCCTCCTCCTCCTCCTCCTCCTCCTCCTCCTCCTCCTCCCCCTCCTCCTCCTCCGTACCCATCCCGTGCTCGGTCGGCCCGCGCCCCGTGGTCGGCCCGGGCTGGCCAACGGCGCCGATCTGCCGAGCGCCCGAGGCGCCTGCACCAGCGGCGCTGCCGGAGCTGCCGTCGAGCCCAGCGAGCGGGCGGACGGCATCGGCGGCAGGTCGAGGTTCGCAGGGCTCGATGCGATTCGACTTCGATCGCTGCCGTATCCGATTAGATTCGGCATCGGAGTCCGAATTGGACTTCGGTTTTTCAACGGAGGTCTTGCTGGCTTGCCGATTTCCGCCGATTCGACTTCTCCCGATTTGGTTGCCGATGTCCGCCGATCCGATTTGTCTCGATCGCTGTGCCGACGCGGCCAAGAGGGGGGTAATGACCAGGGGGCGATATCATGGTGTTCGGGCGAAGAGAACGATGTACATGCACCGACCCTGGCAAGGCCCATCCTTGACCCAGGATCGGTGCATATGCTGTCCTGGCCACGGTAGGAGGGCGTATGCACCGATCCTGGGCTCAGGATGGGCCTGGCCAGAATCGGTGTATGTGCATAGTTCTTTTTCCTCTAGGTGTGGGCCATGATCTCTCTCCAGATCTCATGGCCCGCTCTTCTTCTCTCAATCTGTCCCCTGGCCGCCCCTGGGCCCCGCACGTGCCGCGGCCGACGACGTGCGACCCCCCTCTTGGCCGCGCCCCTCCTCGAGACCCCCGGCTTGCGAGCCGGCGAACGGCATCGGCGGCGGGTCGAGGTTCGAGGTTCGCCATGGAGGAACCAGGGCCTGAGGGAAACGTTTACGAAGATGTTGTAATATACATATATATATACATATATATATATATATATATATATATATATATCGAGCTCATGAGGCCCTCCACGGACCCCGAGATTGTCAGACAATGTGTCAGGGTGAGGATCTGGTCCTCGAGGAAGGCCCCAGGGTCCAGGACCCGCTTCCCACAGGACCCGCGTCCTTCATGCCAAGAGGTGTTCGAGCGCTTTCGCAGGCTCTCGGCGGTCTTCCAGACACGGGATGCTCTCCAGCAGCTGCGCCTCGCCGAGAGCGTTCTGGGGGGGCCCAGCTCGTCCCCGACGGCCGCTGGAGGGACGAATTGCGACCTGGAAGCCCACGTGCTCGCGTCGTGGCAAGAATCAGACGGGAGGCGGTTTGCCTTGTTCGGCGTCCCAGGGCTCTTGCTGGGCTCCGGGGCCGTCAAACATGATTCGGGGGGACAGACCTGCCCTGGGGAGAGGGCCACACGGCTGGCCCACTTCGAGAAAGTGGGCAGGATGCCTTCCGGGAGCTGGTCCCGGGACCGATTTGGCGCAGATGTGAGCCTGGCGGGAGAGCGGGCCTTTTGTCCCTCCTCCGAGGGCAGCGTCGGCGGCAGGGGTGCACGCGTCGCCCGCCGCGCCGCCCATGGGGCATCTGGCGCGGCCGGCAGCGGGAGCAGGGCCGTAGCGCCCAGCGCGCCAGGTGAGCTCTGGCCCGGCATGGCGCTGCGCCGCGCAGGGTGTCAGCGACCGCCCGCTCCCCGCCCGCACTCGCTGGTACTGCGGCAGGCCCTTGCACGGTGGGTTTGCGGTAGATTCGCGTCGTGTCGACCCTCGGCGACACGGCCACCGACGGCCAACGCTGAACGTCGCCGGCGACCCAGAGTCGGTCAATGTTGAACGGTCTAACGTTTCGGAAGCGGCCGATCGCGCAAGGTTCGACGATCCCCGCGGTGTCAGGAACCAAAAGCCGAAGTCGGCGCGAAACGAATCTGCCGTACGTTTTGCGGGGTGTCAGCGCCCGCCCGATCTCCTGCACGCGCTGGTGCTGCCGCAGGCCCTTTGCACGATAAGTGTATAAGTGTTGCCCCAAGGCGGGGCTCGACCAGTCGCAGCTCGGCGTAAAGTTTATTTGGCTGCCGCCGGCAGTTCCCCCAAAAATGTCTTCGTCGATCTCTCTATCATCTTGTCGATGGAATCCGATCTGCGTCTCGCAGGCCGCCCTTCCATGGCTAGTATCCAGGCTTTTGCTGATCACGCTATGTCCGCAGTGCCGTGGAAGCTGACCGCGTGCACCAGAGTTCAACTTGGGTTGATAACACGCATATCCAAAGAGTGGAACTTTTTGTCATGCAGGTCTCTGATTGTGACTTGGCCGCCGCCACGGAGCAACGCTCATCACGATAGCATATCTGTCGGGCGTCGGGTAGGTGCATGCCTCAACTCTCGCTGTCGGACTTCGCAGGAAAAGAGAGTGAGTACGCTGGTGATGATCTGTGCCCTGCGGTGGGGCACGGGCCTGCTGTTTGCCTGCGTCGACGGCGAGTTTCGTGTCGCACAAGCGTGCTGCTTTCCGTGACGTCGCCCAAGGGCGCGGCCTTCCAGCGAGAGTTGTGCGGCATTTTGCAGGAGTCGTCTCTGCCCAGATTGCGAAGAGGGACGCTGGGTCTTTGATGTGGGGCCCAAGGTGCGCGCGCATCACGCAACCCCAGGGCTGACCTGGGTCACTGATTAAGAACCCCCCCCTTCCGGCAAAAGGATAGCACTTCTCCCTCACTGGAAACACTATTTTTGCATCTGGAGGATTCAAACATTTGC